AGGGCAAAAAATGAAATCCATAATATTCCCCCCCCTCCCCTTCTCCCCAGAAAAACAAAAAAACCCAAACTACCATTTTGGCCATTACAGTAATACAAATAATAAAAAATAATACCAAAAAAGCAGCAAAGGAAAATCTCATTTTCCCCTCCTCTTCCTTTTATTGATCTTTCAGGAAGAATCAAACAGGCATGAAATAAAACAGGCATGTTTTAACTTTGTATTTTAAAACAGATTTAAAATCATATTACAATTCTTCTATACCTGAACTTCCCCAAGTCGGTCCAGCTGCTCCTGCATATGGTTCCTTGTAATTGTTACATCATATTCTAATTTGTCATACTCCCTCCATGCTCTTTCCAGTTCCTTAATTTAGAAGAAAAGTAGTATTGAGATCTCACGTTAGGTGTTGACAAGTTAAAAAGAGATGTTAGTAGTTTAAAAAACTTGAACCATTTTTTTCTCAGCCCAGCAGATGCAAGTTCAGCAGTACCTCTCAAGAACAAATTAAGAAATTCATTTTGGTCCTGTTTAAAAATAGTTTTTCACTTTCAATTGGTGTTTCATCTATTTTCTTCTGTGGGCAACAAGATAAAGAAGGGGAAAAAATTTGCTTGCACCTCAGAATTTCCTTCTTGGACCCTTTGTCTTAATTCCTCCCTCATACTCCAAACAAGTCTGGAGACAAACAAGACTTTCAATTATCACCCACTGCAGCAGACTAAATTTTGTCAATTTTACCCCACAGGATGCATTGGTAGATTTTTTTATTATTATTTAACAGGACAAAAGTACGGTGTCTAATTCAGAATTAAGATTTTTAATAGTCTTTCCTCTGAGTTTTACAGATGCCTTCAGGCCAAGTCCAGAATCATGCCTTAGAGTGGATTATCTTTCTCACCCTTCTCTGAGGCCACTGTTTGAAGAGGCTGCTGCTTGCACCTATGGCAGAATAACTCAAGCCCAGCTTGTCCTTCAACAGCAAGTAAAACCTGTGGAGTTGCCAATTGGGTCATCTAGACTGGCCAGGTAATGCTCATTCTGCATTTCTGAATCTCCGAATCATGGATGGATGGATGGATGGATGGATGGGGACACAAAGCTCCTCCTTAGAATTTAAAGGGCAAGATTTTTGTTCTGGGATTTTGTCTGTCACTTCCTGTTCTTCTGGTTGCTCAGGCTGGAGTTCCGAAAAAAGTTTATTTAACATAACCTTGAAAGGTGTCTGTCTTGAGTTTCTTTCTTCTTCTCCATCCAATTGGGACAGATGCCCTTCCTCTGGAGACCATTAACTAAGTGACCAAGATTATTTTCTTCCTTTTAAGATTCTTTGCCTTGTCTCTCTTACAATGCTGGAATGGTGACAAGTTGGAGGGTGACGTGATTGTGCCTTTTTTGGGCTTTGAAAGTGCAAGGCTTGTGAGACAGACATTGTCCCATCAAAGAGAATCAGGATTAACTTTCCCTTCTTTAGGTTCCCCATCCTTCCATCTATCTTGTTGATGTTTAATGTAAGATATTGATGGACTCTGGGCAGGGGTCAGAGTTATAGCCAGGATGTCTCCTTTTTATGTTTATTTTCAGGGGTAAGACCAAGACTTCTGTTTATTTTGTCTTGATCCTTTTAAGAGTCTGTCCCGACTGATTTATATTTGGGGATCAGGCTGAGAGCCTTGGGCAGGGACAGGGAGCTACAGCAGGAATAGTATTTTCCACCTACAGAAATGGTCTGAGTGTGGAGGGGCCATGCCTTGTCCAGGGAAAGGAACATAACCTGTCTGCTTCCCCAGGCAAACAGCCACGGTATTATATTTGTTGGCACCCTAGCTAACAAATGACTGGCTAGCTGACTGTAGGAGGGGAGGGGGTGATGGAGGAGGAGGAGGATGGCAGTGTCTCAATGATGCAACAGTGCTGTCACTCTTTGCAACAAGTCTGAGGCAGGGAGCACATTAGCAGCAGGACCACTGTGACCTGAGAAGCCACTTAAGAGCATCAAGAGCTGCAGGGGATAGAAGAAGCAGTAATGCTGTTCTCAGGTTCTGCTTTGCTAATGAGTAGAACAGCCACATTGCTTCTGCTGTTCCTTCCTGTTTTCAGCCCAGTTCCAGATCTGGTAACTGATCAATCAGCTCTGTGTGACACACTTCCAAACATAGTTGGAACTGGCAATCTTCCCCAGAGTTCCTGTGAAAAGTGGGCAGGAGGTGGGAGTGGCCAACTCTCCTTCATGGGTCTGGATTCTCCTAGGGATTATGTGTTTAACTAACATTAATCACTAAGTATAATTGGACCGTTGTATCTAGTTTTGTATCAGCTGTGTCATGGTGAACCCTGGGCAGTCCCACTTTAGGATTAATGACAACCAGCTGACATAATATTAAATATAATAAATCTTTTCTAGACAAGAGTATTGAATACTATGTCTAAAAAATGTATTTATCTTGAGTAAAGAAGCCCATTGAGAGAATAAAAGTTTCAAATGACACAGGATGAAGAAAGTGTTTAAATTTAGAATCAAGATGACTGTCACAAATGGAGGTCTGTAGCCTGCCTTTTGCACCATTCTGGAAGCAGAGAAAACTAACCAAGGTTTTCAATACGGGCAATCCTATTCCCTAGCCATGACATAATGTCTAGTCAGCTTCTGACCACAAGGACAGAGAAAAATCCACCATTAAAACAGTGGAAGATGAAGGGAACACAACATTTGCAGAGAGCAGAAATGTTCCATTTATTCAACTGTAGGCAGGGCTATTAATCAAAGCTTCTGAGCCTAGTGATGAGGCATCCATCGTGCTAAAAATGTTATTTGAGACACCGCTACACTATAAATCACATTCCAACCTGTTTTAATAGTCATCTGTGATGGAGAAAAATATTTTAAAATGCGACTGTTTAAGTTTTTTTCACTGTTAAACATTAAAACAGGTTGGGAGCTAGTGTACAGTTTTATATACGAGGGTCCCTCTGACAGGGTGTATCTGGCCTTTGCAGTTCCCTACAGGAGGCCTTGTGGTCCTACTACACCCTGTTCCAGAAACAGTGAAGGTGGGTCCTCCAGGCCTGCTTAGGGAGACCTTACCGAAGCAATCATAGCCCAGCAGGCTGAGGTAAAAGAAGCTGCAGGGGCTTAGCAGGTCAGTTCCTGGCTGGGACCGGAAGAGCAAAGAAGGGTGCTCTCTTTGACTAAAAGCAGCCCAAAAAGTATCAGAGTTTATGGCTGTCTGAACTTACATGCAGATTGAAGAGGGAGAAGAACCTGAGGATGCTAGCCCTGAGATCGCCAGTAAGAAGAGGGCCAGGACTGGAGTAAGCAGTACGTGGCTACTGTGTGTAGAGTACCGGGGTTGGAATCCAGAGTAGTGTGTGGGCCTGAACAAGGAGCTGAATTTAGAGGGCCCATAGCTAGGGATGAAAATCCTAGAGAGGGGAAAGAGATTGCTTATTTGTTGGACTCCAATACGTTATTAGGGCGTTCATTTGGATTTTGTGACTCAATGAGTGCCAAGCCACTGAAGACTAACAAAGGTCTGCTGACAGCCTGCAAGGGGCACCAGAGGTGAGAAAAGGACTGTGGTACCATACCCAGCTGCTGGGAGGTGCTCAAGAGGTGAATGCCCCTTTACACTCCCACCCTGCTTCTGTTGCATGGCAACAAGTGATGATTCTTATATAAACTCTGCTGGGCTATGCCAAGTGGATGAAGTTTCTTTTTACAACCTTTAGTATTCCACAGGTGCCATTCTGTGTATTTCACTTTTCAACTAAAGTTTTACTTAAATTCAATCCCTTGATACTATATCACACGCATATTACTGAAGTATTTCCTGACGTCAAAGAGTCAAATTCTGCATTCTGTGTGGCCCCACTGACTTCATTGGGATTGTATTAGGCACAAATCAGAGCATAAATCTAGTCCAATACTATTACCCATCCAAACTGATAACCAATTTTCCCCCAGCAAAAATCAAGTACTTGAACAAAATTATCCTTTTGAAACAGCTTACACTAGTGTGCGAAATAAGGGAGTCCACTTAACTTTACATCAGTAGAGGGACTCCCTTCATAAATTACCAAAGCTCTGAAGAATAAATGAGAGCATTCCAATGTATGTTTCCACTGTGCACAGCAGCAACCAACAATTAGAAAAGTTTACTTATAGTAACTGTGGCTCTACAAGATGTGGTGCAAACTTGTACTCCACTTAGGTGTGTGCGCACTCAGTGCGCTGGAGCCAGAGAATTTTGCCTAGCAGTACCCACAGAGGGGTGATGCTCCTGCCTTGTGGCCGTAGCCTTTCCCCGGCTATATGAGGTAGTACCACCCTGACCCCATTCTGTCCTTTCACACTGAATATCAATGCAGAGAAGATGAAGGGGGGGTTGTGGAATACACTTCTGCATCACATTTTGAAGAACTACAGTTACAGTAACTAACTTTCTTCTTCAAGTAGATGCAGCAAATTATTCCACTTAGCTGACTCACTCACTCACTTAGCAGTACCCCTCCAGAAGGCAGGGCTGGAGTCTATCTAAACAAGAACGGCAGGGCCGCCCTACCAAAACTTGCATCCTGAAAGATACGATGATGGCATAATGGTTTAATAAACATATGCCTGACATTTAACGTGTGGAGACACTGCTCCTCCGGAGATGAATGACTTAGGAAAGAACACAGGTAAATATACTGCCTGCTTCAAATGAAACTGTGAAAACACTTTAGATAAAAAGTTGGGGTGTGGTTGTAAAGTCACTCTGACCTTGGAGAGCTGTGTATAAGGAGGCTCTGCCATCAGAGACTGCACTCAGACTCTCCTTGGTGATGTTATCGTTACCAGGAATGCAGTTTTCTGACAAAACCAAAAAGGAACAAAATACCAGGGGTTCGAACAGAGGTCACATTAAAGCCACTAGGACAGTGTTACAGTTCCACGGAGGAACTGGCTCTCAGACCGGAAAATGGAGATGAAGCCCTTTTAAGAATCTTGCTACCATGGCATTGGAGAAGACTGATCTTTTCTGAATGTGGGGAAATAAAAGGCTGATATCACCGCCAGATGCACTTTCATTGAACTAAGTGCAAGTCCCAATCACTGAAGGTGCAGCAGGATACTCCAAGATGTCCTAGATAGAAGCCAGCATCAGTTGAATTCCATAGCCCAGTGACCACACTGAAAACTTCTTCCATTTAGCTGAATAGCCCATTCTGGTAGATAGCTTTCTTCTTTTGAGGAGTACCTGTTTAACAGCTGCTGAACACCGCTCTTCCTCCTCGTTTAGCCATGCAGCAGCCATGTCATGAGATGCAGGGAACTGAGTGTAGGATAGAGGATGCAAACATTATTCTGAGTGAGTAGTTCAGGATGGAGAGGAAGCAATATGGGGATGCTGAACCGACAGTATGAGAAGACTGGAGATGTGTGCTCTGCTCCCCCTTGCTTGTTCACATAATAAATCTTGTCAGTATTTTCAGTAAGTATGTGAACCACTGAGCCCAATAGTTCATCCACAATGACATACATTGTAGGTGTCCCCAAGCTCCAGCACGTTAATATGCAGTGAGGCCTCCTGCTCCCACTACAGACCTTGGACTTTCAGTGACCCCAGGTGTGCTCCCCAACCCATCAGGGATGTGTCAGTAACAACAGACCTGGTTGGCAAGGGGCAGAAAAGGGAATGAATGAATGAATGAATGAATGAGTGTGAGTGTGAGTGTGAGTGTGAGTGTGTGTGTGTGTGTGTGTGTGTGTGTGTAACCTTGCAAATTGGACTACCTGCATGCAAGTGGACATATGCCCAAAGAGCTTCAGGCACATCTGGGACACTGACGTGGAAAGCTGAGACTGCAGACTGAGGCAAAGATGGCAAATTGCCTGACAACTTCTGGTCGGCAGAAATGTTCCTGAACGTGTAGAATTTACTAAGGCCCCAACAAACTCAATTTTCTGAGCGGCAACTGAAGTTGACTTTCCAGTATTTAGGATGAGAACCAGATGGTTGAGCAAATGCAGAGTACTGTCGATGTGAGCAAGAACTTTCTTTTTGAACCTGCCCCTCAGTAACCAGTCACCCAGATACAGAAAGATATGGGTTCCTTTCTTCATGAAATATGCCATCACAATGACCATGCATTTGGTAAATGGCAGAAGACAAGTCAAATGGAAGCAGCGTGTACTGAAAATGACACTGCCACAACAAATCGAAAGAATTTTCTGTGGCCTGGCAAAATCACCACATGGAAGTAGGTATACTGAAGGTCCAGAGCAGTAAACCAGCCATTCTGAGACAACGCATGGTGGACAGTCGATAGAATGACCATTCGGAATGTCATTTATCCAATAGAATTGTTGAAGCCATGAAGCTCAAGAATGGGTCTCACCTCTACCTTGGATTTGGACACCAGAAAATACTGGGAATAGAAACTATGACCCTGATGTTCCAGCGGCACCTCCTCCGCTGCTCCCAAAGCCAGTAAAGAGCAAACCTGCTTCCTGAGAGGGGTCCCTGAAGGAGGACAGAAGGAGGAAGGATGGAAAGGAACTGGATGACACAGCCCAACAGTGGTGATTGAGTACCAAGCATTATGAAAGTGGGTCAGCCTGTTCCCAAATGGAGGAAGTGGGGAGAAAGGAGAGATGACTGGAACACTGCTGTGGACCAATGGAGTCAAACGAGAGGCTTGAGAGGCACTAAGAGAGGGCATGTGGATTATCTGAACCCCAGACCAGACTGCTTTCTCCTATGGTACCTATGATCCTTTCTGGGGTAGTCCTGCTGTCTCCGGGGAGGGAAAGGCTTCCCAAATGTGTGCTGAGCCCAGCACCAGCACTACTTCCACTGACTGCGAAAGAGATCTCAGGGCACCATGCAGACAAACTCTCAGCTTCAGCAGCCTGCCCAGCCAATGGGGCTATAAAAGATGCAGGCCTGCAAAGTCCTGGACCAAGGGCGAGGTAGGAACCGAAAGGCAGAGGAGGTCCATTGGCTCCTGATTAATCGCTGGCTTAGAAACAGCTGGTGTCAGCATCATCCTCGTCAGTACCGGACTCAGTGGACACCCCATGGCCAGAACTGGAGTCAAGGGCATGGTGTCTCCGATCCTCCTTACATAGTATACTGGGAAGTGGTTGACAGGTCATGCGCCATCCCGTGCATTGGCATTCATTTGGTGCCGATCTGCGCTTCTTCTGGAGGAGGAAGACAAGTTCCCACAGGGCCAGGAGCAATCTTGGTCAGTCTTATGTGACCTTTTCCTTGACACACTTGACCAGGAACAACTCCTCTGTGTCTCTGGAGAAGCACCAGCTCCATGATGACGATGGCCTTGGTGCTGAAGCAGGCCTGTTTGAGCAACAGCTGAAGATCCCTCGCCACCTAAGTCCATTTGGTGAATGATCTGCTCCTTGACATGGGCTTCACCTAGGCACAGCAAGCACCACGTGTGGATCATTGAAGGGGATTGCTTCCTTAAACAACATCAATCCTGGTGAGGGCATCACCAGGGAAACACTTAAACTACAGCTAACTAACACTAAATCTAACTAACGCTATACTATGGATACTAATTAATTATATACAACTAGAAAAGTCACTAAAATAGTGGGATTGTGAGATGAAAACCACACACAGCTCTGACTCCAGCCATGGGCGGTAAGAAAGAACTGAGAGGGCTCGGGGCAGTGCTGCCTCATATCTAGGGGAGGAACTATGGCCATGAGGTGCAAGCACAGCCCCTATGCAGGTACTACTAGGGACAATTCTCCAGCTCTAGCATTGTGGGCGCACACATACCTAAGTGGAATACACTGCTACATCTACTCTAAGAACATATAGTAAACTTAACAGGAGAATACGACCTCTCGATGGTTGCTTCTATTGTATATTAACATATTTACAAAGGAACCAATACATTTTTGGAAAATTAAATGCAGCATGTTAAGTTAGCAGAACTTCTCAATAAGATATGGTTTATTGGTATTATATAACTCACTCTATAATCAACTCTTCATCTCACAGAAAAAAGTTGCCAAATCAATTAAAGTTTGTATGCATTTGTCCTTTTAAAAGTAATTTAAGGCAAAAGATTTCACCTGTTGACTGGATTAAAAAGAACATATTTTTCTATCTGCCTCACCAGAAGCTTGAGGTAAATGAAAGACAATTTAAAGATGCTGGGATATAATAAAGAAAGAACCCGTAGACAACTCAATTAAAAGTACCAACATGAAGAAAAATCGCTTACCACCTCATTGGGTTTTACTGGCAAAAAATCTATTACTTACTGCAGTAGCTCGAGACACTTCTCGACAAGTGCTAAGCAGTCCGTTCTGTAAGTCATCTCGCTGTAAGACTACATTCTGTATGGCAGCTGGGTTATCTGCATTCATTTCTATCTCTTGACTGGCTGATAGCAAAGCTTGCTCAAGCGTGTACTGTTATAATAAAAGAATTAATTTTTAATGTTCTGCATCATTGGGTTGATTTTCTTTTTACTTTAGTTATCAGTGTTGTGATAATAGCCATGTAAAATAACATCCATTTTAGGTAATAAATATAATTGTCCTACTTTCTCCTTGTGTAGCTGCTGAAGTTTCTCTTCCAGTGCTTGTACCACTTTATCTTGTTCACATAATCGGCTAAGCTTAGTCTAGTTTAAGAGAAGATGGTTGTAATTAGTATTTATTATTCTGCATATCGTCTATATTAACACAGTATCAAATCATTTCATGAGTATTAAAGTTTTGTTATTACTATATATTTAACTTTAAATGCTGTAAAGTTGAATACTGAATTGTCAAAGCAGCCTAAGACTGAAAAAGGCCCTATAAACTAGAGTATTACTGTAATTTCAAACAGCATGGGTCAAATGTAGTAACTAGTTATTCTACAGCTAAGTCTTCTAGATTTCACAGCAGCTTTTACTACAGCTGATCACACTATTTTGACCCACCTGCAGGCCTTGGTTGGGGTACATATTAAGTAGATCCATTCTTTTCTATCCTATACTACAGAAGGTTGTTTTGAGCAATTACGCACCAAAGCCGAAAGCAATCTTGTGGGAGCCCTGTGTGGTTCTATTTTCACACCCTTCTGTTAAACACGTATGTGTGACTACTCTGGTGATAGATTATTTGTTTTGCAATGCCATCAGCTTGAAGAAGACGGACAGCACTAAGTCTTTTACTTTACACAGTACTAAGTACTATCCAATTGCTAAAACACACAGACATCTGAATTTCAGCTGCTGATGTGTTCTGCAGAGGCAATGGTTTCTCTAAAAAAGTTTTCCATTGCAAGTTTTATTTTAAGGGCCAGAATTCTTCTGAAGAACTCATCAGTAGTATAGGCTTCCATTACACTGACAAAGAGATTCCAGCATAGGCAAAAATAAAATCTGTTGTCAGTTATGGGTTTTATTCCCATCAGCGTACATAGGGTATATAAAGATTCTCACATTTCCTGTAATGAAATGTAATGGATTTTACAGTCAAATAAAACTTTACACACATACTGCTAGAATTTAACTAATTCAGAGACATTAGCTTGACTCATTCTGCTGGCATACATCCAATCAGAAGTCCACCTGAAGGTCAGAGCAGCATAAGGCACCAGCAACATTTACTGCACTGGGGCGCTGCTCAGGACGCCCAGCAATACACTTAATTAGAATATCTTGTGGACAGCTTTCAACAGCTGGAGGGTAAGGCTAACTCCCCAGGGAGGGAGGAGGTATAAACAGACTGACTGACCTTCCCTAGGGATCAAACAGCCCTGCTGGCCTGGAGGTGCAATTTGCCTCCCTTTGTGCTAGTAGCGTGAACCAGGCCCAAATTACTTACAGAAAGACCAGATGAAGCAAATGGTCTCTGCACCAACAAATGGAAATGGCTTTAATTTAAGAAAAGCTGTAGAGAATCCGGAGATGTCCATTTTCAGCCTCCCTTTTAGGCATATTAACACACAGTGGTATCAAATATATACTGAGTTATGTTGTGAGGTTGCACTGACCTTTTATCTTGCTTTCTGAAACACTCAAATCTGCTCTCTGCCATTTTTGCTTACATATTAAATACGGTTTCTTTTTTCTAAATCTCAAATGTAAACTTATAAAACAGCTTTTTACCTTTTACTGTATTAGACTTAGAAAGTAAAGTGAGTTGTCATCAAATGAAAGGAAAAGGTAAAATACTTGTATTTAACATAACAAGTCAAGTAAGGCATTGTACCCACCTGTCTTTTGTGTTAGACTCAAGTGGTGAAACATTTAGGGCTTGTCTACACTGGCAAGCTTCTGTGCAGTAAAGCAGCTTTTTGCACTCAAACTGCAAACGTGTACACACTGCTAAGCCACTTTGTGTGCAGAAACTCCTCAGTTGCAGCGCTGCAAAAAAACCCACCTCGACGAGATTCGTAAGGCTATTTGTGCAGAGGCTCCAGCACTCTATTGCCAGTGTAGACACTCGATTGCTTTCTGAGCTGCAATTGGCCTCCGGAGCTGTCCCATAATGCCTCAAGTGACCACTCTGCTCACTGTTTTGAACTCTGCTGCCCTGGAGACATGCACCCCTCCCCTTCCAAAGCACCGCGCGCTGTGCAGAGAGCCCAGGGAGGGAGGCAGGGTTTCCCCTCCCCCCAAGACTGGTTACTTCCTGCCACTGTCTGAACTTACAAGACAGCATGCTGACACACTGTCCCCCAAAACACAGTCTCTCCCCCGCCCCCATACACACACTCCCTATCACACACATTCTCCCTCCGTCCCCCAACTTCAGTTGAAAATCATCTGGCAGTGTAGTAGGATGCCCAAGGAACAATGGGATTGAGAAACCTGCATTATGTGATGCCCCATGAGGCATTGCAAACCCTTCCCAAAGCACCCTGCGTCCAGTTGCACAGCTTGATAGCTACCACAATGCACTGCTGTCTTTGCCACTGCAAGGGCTGCTAATGTGGATGCGCTCCAGTGTCAAGGAGTACAGTATGGACATGCAACATTGTTTAATCCCAGCGTTTTAATAAAAGTGGTATAACTTGAGGTGCTGAAACTTGCCAGTGTAGACATACCCTTAGAAAATACTTTCTTCTATGGCCTGAGTTTAGGCAATAAAGCATCTGCAAAACCTTCTACAATTAATGTACATGGCTCAGTTGGACAGGACACATTCATGCTGTAATATTTAGCCTCAACTAACACGCCTTATCTCACATACTATATTCAGTGAATACGTAACCTTCCATTTCTGTCACTCACAGAAACCAGCTGAGCCAGTTTTGTGCATGTTTATAACTAAAATGAGAACAAACCATGTGTAAATGTAATGTTAATTTTTCCTGTAATCTCTTTATAGTGGCTGAAGCTTTAAAAAACTGAAATTTGACATGGACAGTAGTCATGAAAAAGGACTATATGCGTTTAATAGCTTTAAAGTAATTGATTTCACAAACTTACCCATTTTAAAACTGCATGTGGAACATGTACTTTAGAAAAGGCCTACAGGTCTACAAACAGTGCATCTAAGGCCTGGTCTATACAGGGGGCAGGGGAGAGGAGGGATTGATCTAAGTTACGCAACTTCAGCTACGTGAATAATGTAACTGAAGTTGATGTACTTACATCTACTTACCGGGGTGTCTTCACTGAGCTAAGTCAACAGTTGACGCTCTCCCGTCGACCCCGCCTGCACCTCTCACCCTGGTGGAGTACCGGAGTCGACGGGAGAGCGCTTGGCGGTCGATTTATTGCATCTAGACTAGACGTGATAAATCAACCCCCGCTGGATCAATCACTGCCCATCGATCCAGCGGGTAATGTAGACAAGCCCTTAGTGTAGACTTGTTGATTCAGGAGACTTACATAAATAAATAGTGTAAGTCTCTTGCGATTCAAGGGATTTTTTTTTTCAAACACACACACACACACACAAATATATATAGATAGATAGATATATACACATATACACAGATATATAGATATACACAGATATACACATACACACACACACCCCCCCCTACAAATTCACTTACTGTACTAGTATCTCCCCAACACCAATACATTCAAAACCAGCTATGGGATATTTTGCTCAAACATCCAGGAATATTTCCCCCAACTTCTAAAGCAATTGCTACTAGTTTTATATTAAGTAGTTTTTGCATCTAAATTTTATGACCAGGGTAGAAACTTCTACATCAGAATATCAACACAGTAAGCCAAAACCAAATACTTACATCTATATCCAATTCTTCAGATCTATATTTGTATAGTGTACCCCTACATTCTTCTTGTGTCAACTATAAGGAAGAATAATATTCTCATAAAATAACTTCCCACCAGAACCATGAAAATGATGTTCATCTTAGAGTTAAAATTTTAATACACCAAAATCAGATTCCATTTGAATGCCAAACATTTAATGTATGACTATATAGTTTGAATCAATAAACAATATTTAAATCTCAGTTACTTAATGTACGTAATGGAATGTCAAATAGGGATTATCAGAAGGAGAAAGGTATATCACAGTTATTTTCTCAAACTATTAAATCTTGCTAATTAAAACTGAAACTGTGGAATTATGTTAAGTTTATTAGGCATGCATAATTCTTCAGAAAAATGTTGAGTGCTATACTTGCAATATAAAAATTCAATCAAATCTAGACTGTGTAGCAGATAAAATTACATTCTGATTAGATCCCCACACACAATTATATATCACTATGGTAATTTTCATGTGTGCATTCTAAATACAGGACCTTATTCTGCTCTTTTATGTTAATGGCAGTGTATAGAAATTCCAGTGTGTTCAAGTGTAGTTACAAATTTACACCAGAGTAACTAAGAACAGAATTGGCTCTTTGTGTATACAGTGTGTGTAAGATATACAGATATACACACGTTTTTGGCATGTAGGTGGGATTTTAAAAAAAAAGTGCACTTTTTCCTCAGCTTTCTTTTAGATACGGTACTCCATACTACAGCAATTACTGTAAATGGATACAATTCTATTTCTTGTGCTGAGGTATGCAAACTCTTTTTACTAAGGTTATGACTGCCATCTTACTCAGCAGTAGAAGGGATCCTCAGACTCTGATTTGATATGAGTGAATGCTCAACATATTAACTTTTTACTTCTTTTCATCTCTAGACTGACTGCTAGCGATATATTTTAAAATACTTAAAACGGGCTAACATATATAGATACCCATTTGTGCCAAACTTTTTATATCCCATTTTAGTTAATACATAAAAATATATGCATATTCATTCCTAACATATACATTTCCCCTCCATAGCATGTTATTTAACTGGAACATTTTTAAATCAATTGTGCAAAAAAGAGACTATAGAAACACAAGTCCAAAGGAGGTTTATAAATGCAAGGATTGGGGAGAGTTAAACATACAAGCATTCCAAACATACAATAAACCTTTAAAAGACTTAAGTGTTTCATTTCAAGACATTATTTCCACATACCTCATGCAAATGCATCTGGTGACAATTTAAAAGTATGTATAGTGTATTAAAACCACATAGTAAATTTCTTTGAAATGAATATTTAATGAAAATGAGTATCAGAATATGAAAAAGCCACAGCACTTTTGCACTTCATTAAGATTATTTTTTTAACAAAAATCTATTTAAACCTCTAATAGTGTAGAAACAATATATATTTTTTAAAAACCCTCCTTCCGAACTAAAGAAAGAACTTAGGAATGGAAATATTTTAAGAGTGTGCTCATAAGCATGGTCAATATAAATCTGGCCCAGACTCCCAAAAATATGGTTAAAACCTTACACTGATTTCTGTTTAACTCAACAGGGACATTATGTAGCTTTTCAAGACCCCAAATTTATCTTTCCAGAACACTCTTAGATATTATGCAGCTTCCTTGGATAGTGATATACAAAGTAAATCTTTTCAAGTTTAGTGACTTTTTAAAAAGCTAATTTATTTGTGTTCTCAGAAGCCCAATCTTAATTATAGCGTAGCTTAAAATAGGCTGATGATCTATCATTCACACCTATTCCTATTATTCTATAATTATTTAGAAAATCTAAATGCACTTTTAATGAGATAGGTACAGAACTTCCACAAGTATTAAAACAAATTTAATAATTACTTGTAAAATACTTTGATTCAAATAGTATTAAGTTTGAGTTTGTGTTTACCCCACATAGGCAATGAAATGGTTAACGTGGGCCCATTAACAGCTGGTTGCACTTGGAGGGTGGGCCAGACTCAATTAAAAGATGAGTCCAGCTGGGGGAGGAGCTACCCTGGTCTACACTACGCGTTTAGGTTGAATTTAGCAGCCTTAGATCAATTTAACCCTGCACCCGTCCATACGACGAAGCCATTTTTGTCGACTTAAAGGGCACTTAAAAACGATTTCTATACTCCTCCCTGACGAGGGGATTAGCGCTGAAATCGACATCGCCGGGTCGAATTTGGGGTAGTGTGGACGCAATTCTTTGCATCCACAATGGTATTGGTCTCCGGGAGCTATCCCAGAGGGCTCCATTGTGACTGCTCTGGACAGCACTTTCAACTCAGATGCACTGGCCAGGTACACAGGAAAAGCCCTGGGAACTTTTGAATTTCATTTCCTGTTTGTTCAGTGTGGCAAGCTGATCAGCACAGGTGACCATGGAGTCCCAGAATCGCAAAAGAGCTCCTGCATGGACCGAACAGGAGGTACTGGATCTGATCGCTGTATGGGGAAATGAATCTGTGCTATCCGAACTCTGTTCCAAAAGACGAAATGCCAAAATATTTGAAAAAAAAACTCCAAGGGCATGAAGTACAGAGGCTATAACAGGGACCCGCAGCAGTGCCACATGAAACTTAAGGAGCTCAGGCAAGCCTACCAAAAAAACCAAAGAGGCAAACGGCCGCTCCAGGTCAGAGCCCCAGACACCCCGCTTCTATGATGAGCTGCATGCAATTCTAGGGGACCCCCCTACCACTACCCCACCCCTGTCCATGGACACCTGCAAAGGGCGAGTCTCATGCAATGGGGATGAGGATTTTGGGGACGAGGAAGATGAGGATAGCGCACAGCACACAAGCGGAGAAACCGTTCTCCCCGACAGCCAGGAACGGTTTATCACCATGGAGCCAATACCCTCCCAAGGCGGGCTCCCGGACCTTGAATGTGGAGAACGGACCTCTGGTGAGTGTACCTTTGTAAATACAATACATAGTTTAAAAGCAAGCGTGTTTAATGATTAATTTGCCCTGAAGACTTAAAGAAGCCAAAAGACTGTGGCTTACCATGGCTGCCTGCAAGCCGAATTCTGTTGCCCGGCCCTGTGTGAGAGATCTCTCACACCAAACCGGCAGCCCCTCAATATAAGAGGCAAAATGCGACCTTGTACTCTAAAATGTGTCTTTTTAAATACTACTCTCCCTTTTTTTTCCTACCGCAGCTGCAAATGTTTCGACGCTCCCCCTATCATCTCCATCCCAGAGGCTAGCGCAGATAAGGCGGCGAAAAAAAACACCCTCACGATGAAATGTTCTCTGAGCTCATGCAGTCCTCCCGCACTGAAAGAGCCCAGCAAAATGTGTGGAGGCAGACAATGTCAGAGTCCAGGAAAGCATAAAATGAATGTGAGGAGAGAGGATAGATAGCTGGAGCAAGAGGAGAGGTGGCAGCAGCGTGATGAGAGGAGGCAGGAGGCAATGCTGAGGATACTGGAGGATCAAATTGATATGCTCCGGCGTATGGTTCCCGACTCACCGATAGCTGTCTGGCGTTGCAAGCTTCCAGAGGGCTATCGCCACTCGCTTGTGAACGGTGAGGGCTGCTCTCATCTTGGTTTTCTTGCGCTTCAGGGCAAGGAAAAGCAAATTAAAGTTCCATGAAAGTGCCCTTATGCATGCGAAAGTTTCGCAGCCACTGGGATTCATCCCAGACCTTGCAACGCTATGCAGTCCTACCAGTCTGTGCTTGTTTCCCGAGCCCAGAATCGGCGTTCCACGGCATGAACCTGCCCCATTACCACCATAATGTCCCCATTGCCAGGGCCCATGCTTTGAGAGAAGTCTGTGTCCATGTTCTCATCACCTCCTCGCCTGCTTTTGCAGGTTCTGGTTCTGCATATACTGCAGGATAATGCGCATGGTGTTTACAACAGTGTTTACAACAGTGTTTATAACTGCCGCGGTGATCTGAGCGGGCTCCATGCTTGCCGTGGTATGGCGCCTGCAGGAGAGCAGAGTTGCAGCGGAAGCGGTGGATGATGGAATAGATATTTATAGAGAGATGCCATGAGAATAGATACTTATAGAGAATGACGAGAGGACCTGCGAGATGGATTCATGAGAGCAGGAGAGCAGAGTTGCAGCGGAAGTGGGAGCCCATGACAGCCAACATGGAGAAATCTGCTATCGAGACAGGAGAGCAGAGTGGCAACGGAAGCGGTGGTTGGAATGCCAGTTTTTCCCGACTTATTGCATCTGTGGCCAGAGCAGGAGAGCAGAGAGGCAGCAGAAGCAGTTGTTCGATGACGACGGTTAGTAGTCCTACTGCACCATCTGCTGAAAGCAATATGGCATCTGCACGGAAAAAAGGCGCAAAACAATTGTCTGCCATTGCTTTCATGGAGAGAGGGGCGACTGACGACATGTACCCAAAACAATGTTTTTGTCCAATCAGGCATTGCGAGCTCAACCCAGAATTCCAATGGGCGGCGGAGACTGCGGGAACTGTGGGATAGTTACCCACAGTGCAACGCTCTGAAAGTCGATGCTAGCCATGGTACTGTGGACGCACTCCGTTAATGTGCTTAGTGGGGACACACACAATCAACTGTATAAAATCGCTTCCTAAAAAATCGACTTCTATAAATTTGACCTAATTTCATAGTATAGACATACCCTAAGAGTAGAAAAGGGCTGCAGGGAGAAAGGGAAAGAACCTCATAGTCCCTCTCTGGGTAGTAGAGAGCAGAGGAGCTTCAGGGCAGATTTTACATCCTGGGCTTGATGGAATAGGCTAACAGAGGTGCAGGGGACTCCGCTAGTGCACCTGAGTGAAAGCCAATCACAGGCAGAAAGTTGAGGATTCAGACAAGGGAAAGATTCCACCAAGGTAGTCTCTGAGTCAGAATTCTGTAGAAAAACAGAGCTGAGGATGACTCAGGATAATTTAAAAGTTCAAGCCTGGAGAAGGGGCCAAAGTTGCTTTTGTTGTGGTTTATAATTTTCCTTTTATAGCTTGAAGTCCTGGGGCCCTTGGCTCTAATAGAGTGGAACAGAAGAGGGGCCCTGGAGGAGTGGCAGATG